AAATTTGAACCATTTGTATTTATGACTAAATTTTGAAATTATTTAAATTTTTCTGATATATGAACTGATAATATTTTTTATTGAATTTATTGTTTATATGAACCTATAGTTTTTTTTTTGGTATATGAGTATATCCCAAAGATACGTGTGTAGAGGTAGACAAGTACTATATTTGGATGATAAGGTATTGAAACCAAGTAAATTTTTGGATATTGAATTTTGTCGGTCTTATTTTTTTTATTTTTACTACTAGGAGATTAGTAACATTTTTCAAAATGGCTCGTAGACTGATTATTAATCGTCTTGATAAGGATGAATTGACTTATGAGTTAACTTTTCGGGGCATTAGTTTAGGGAGTTGTGATGAGATGAGGCACAGGCTGCCCTCAGCGATTCAATTGGAACGTGATGGCGATAGTCTACATTATCCAGATTATCCATTTTCTTTTGAGGAGGATGAAACAGCAGTAAAGAAGTCACTACAAGACGTTATGAAATTAGTTGATAATTTGACAGGAAATAGGACGTCCAGTGACGCCACGAAGATTCAAAACAAGTTCACTTTTCTGTTGAATCGTTTGGATAGGATGACAGCCACAAGCGTTGTGGAGAGTACAAGGAAAGCTGATTTAACTGCCATGACTTTATCTGCGCTGAATAAGTTTAACACTAAATTAAATGACATTGACATTACAAATCGTCCAGTACCGGCGAGCCTCACTCATTTGCAAGCTAGAACGTTTGATCCACCTGCTAGTTCTTCGATAGTTGAGGATATTTCTTTTACACAGGGTGCTCATAAGATAGTACCACCTCACAAATGGGATTTAAAGAAGTTTTCAGGAGATAGTAAGGGCATGTCTGTTACGGCTTTCTTTGAAAGAGTTGAAGAGCTGAGAGTAGCTCGAAATGTTCCAAAAGCTATGTTGTTAGACACAGGGGTAGACCTTTTTGCTGATAAGGCCTATCAGTTTTATAAAGATTGTAGGACTCGATTGTCATCTTGGGATGAACTAGTTGAAGAATTTCGAACGGAGTATCTTACAGCTCATCATTTAGACGCATTGTTTGAGGAGTTACAGAAGCGTACTCAACATCCATCAGAGTCAATAGGGGTTTATTTAGCGGTAATGACTAGTTACTTCAATCGTTTGCGTTGTTCGATGTCGGAAGATGCTAAATTAAAGGTCATTATGCGAAATTTGCACCCATTTTATTTGGATCGGTTACGAGATCCACCTCCATCCACCATTGCGGAGTTACGAGAACAATGCAGAAAAATGGAAGACAGAAGAGACCTTATTAACAACTATGTCGAACCGTCAACTCGAAGGGCTGGAATCATGGAAAGGGATTTGGCTTATGTCGGTGATGAGGAAGATTCTCGAATTTCTGAAGTTGCGTCTACTCAGGCAGTTCCGTCTCCAAATAGTAGGTCTGTTGTTTGTTTCCGTTGTAAACAGCCAGGTCATCGGGCGATAGGTTGTGCTTTACCTAAGCCCATAAAATGTTTTATATGCCAGCGTGAAGGATTTACAGTTCGAAACTGCCCCAACTGCAATAAGGGAAACGACGGCCGTCGATCTTAATTGGTCGTGGAAGATCGGCGGGAGATATGGACGACTCGACTAGGCACCTACAACCAATCTTAGACTATATTTTAGAACATGTAGAAGGGGATGAACGACCCTTTTTAAAAGTTGATGTGCTGGGGATTCGTTTAATGGGTTTGTTAGATTCGGGTGCTTCTGCCACTATTATAGGGAATAAGGGTTGGTCGTTAATAAGGAAATTGGACATTATTTTGGACACTTCAAGTAAAACCAGTTGTCGGGTGGCAAATGGACAAGTCTGTCAGAGTATTGGTGTCTGTGAGCTACCATTTCTTGTAAGAGGTAGGTTGAAGTTGATTAAGGTACTAGTAGTACCAGATATACCTCATACACTAATTCTGGGCACAAATTTTTGGAGAGCAATGGGAATTGTTCCTGATCTTCGCCACAATGAGTGGTACTTTTCCAAAGAAACGTATCACCTGAATACTGTTGAGCACCTAAGAAGTCAGACTGTGTTAACCGACATGGAGGATATCCGATTAAAGGCAGTGATTGCCAGAAATCGATCTGAAATGGGAGAAGCCTTAGGATGCACTGATATGGCTGAGCATGTCATTGTGACACAATCTCCGCCAATCAAACAGAGATATTACCCAGTGTCGCCCGTAATCCAACAACATATTAATAAGGAACTTGATGAAATGCTCGCTAAAGGCGTAGTTGAAAGGTCTCACAGTGGTTGGTCGTCGCCTCTTTTATTAGTCAAGAAGAAGGATGGGAGTTATCGTTGTTGTGTTGACTATAGGAAGCTTAATGCGGTGACGGAGAGGGATGGATATCCACTGCCATATGTCTCTAACACATTAGATAAATTAAGGGATGCACACTACCTTTCGTCTCTTGACATTAAGTCTGCTTACTGGCAGGTACCTGTAGCAGAAGCATCTAGACCTTATACAGCTTTTACTGTACCAGGAAGAGGGTTATTCCAATTTCGGCGAATGCCTTTCGGATTGCATAATGCACCTGCTACTTGGCAGCGTTTGATTGACAATGTTTTGGGTTCAGAACTGGAACCTCATGTCTTTGTATATTTAGATGATGTAGTAATCGTTACGCAGACTTTTGAGAAGCATTTGGCCGTTTTAGAAGAAGTATTTAAGAGGTTGAAGAAGGCCAAGCTTACCGTAAGTTGGGATAAATGTCAATTCTGCAAGCCAGAGATGAAATATTTAGGCTATGTTGTTGATCGCAATGGTCTTCATGTAGATCCCGATAAGGTATCTGCAATGTTGAAGCTTCTAGCACCAACAAATGTCAAGGAAGTCAGAATGATTTTGGGTACTTTCTCTTGGTATCGGAGGTTTATACCCGATTTCTCCACGCTTATTTCGCCTATGTCAGCATTATTGAGGAAAGGACGTAAGTTCGTATGGACAGATGAATGTGATGCTGCTTTTCAGAAAATTAAGGAATACTTGGTGTCCGCACCAGTTTTAAACTGTCCTGATTATGGATTACCTTTCGAAGTTCACACTGATGCATCTGGATATGGATTAGGCGCAGTGTTGGTACAGAAGAAAGATGGCGAAGACAGAGTCCTTAGTTACCTAAGCCGATCTTTATCTAAACAGGAAAGGAATTACACTACCACGGAGCGCGAATGTCTCGCAGTCCTTTGGGCCATCGAGAAACTTCGACCTTATTTGGAGGGCGTACGCTTTACAGTTTATACAGATCATTGGTCTTTAGTATGGTTACATAATCTCAAAGATGTAAATGGACGTTTGGCTCGATGGGCATTAAAATTGCAACAGTACGACTTCGTCGTCGTACATAGAAAAGGAAAAGATCACGTGGTTCCGGACGCGTTGTCGAGAGCAGTTCCTGTATTAGATTCTTGTGAGGTTCGCGAAGTGAATGTAGGTATTCAGGACAGATGGTATAGCAGATTGTTTTCCAAGGTACTGAAACAACCGTTTAAGTTTGGGAATTTTCGCATTCATCAGGGGAAATTATATAAATATACTAATCCGAAATTCAAGGGACTTGGAGACCCAGGAGATGATTGGAAATTGGTGATTCCTAAGGATGAACGCAACAGGCTTTTGCAGGAAGTTCATTTGGATCCTACATCTGGGCATTTGGGGGTCTATAAGACTTATAAGAGATTAGCAGAACGTTATTTTTGGCCTAAGATGAAATTTGATGTGTCTCGTTTCGTGAGAACTTGTAAAGAATGTGTTACTTATAAACCAGACTTACAAAGGCCTGCTGGACTCATGGTGTCTCAGCCCAAAGTACGTCAACCTTTTGAGATGATTTCTACGGATTTAATGGGACCACTTCCTAGGTCATTGAGAGGAAATCAGTATATTCTAGTTGTCACGGATTACTTCACTAAGTACTCGTTATTATTTCCATTAAGGGATGCCAAAACGGCGAAACTGGTAAAGCTCATTGAAGACGACGTTTTTCTTGTTTATGGAGTACCAAGGTTGTTACTTTGTGACAACGGTCCCCAATACACCTCTAAAGCGTTTAAGAAGTTGACTGATAGTTACCATGTCACCATACGGTATAATTCCAATTATCATCCACAAGCGAATCCAACAGAACGGGTGAATCGTACTATCAAGTCTATGGTTGCAATATACGCTTCTGACAATCATCGTACTTGGGATGTGAATTTGTGTAAGATAGCTTGCGCTTTACGAACCGCTGTGCATGAGACGACTCAGTACGCACCATATTTCATGAATTTTGGACGTCGCATGAAGCTCTCTGGTAAGGATTATAACGAGGATCTTTCTGAATCAGGAGGTAATGTGGATTACGAGACTCGTCCTGCTGTTTTTAAGGAGTTATTTTTAGAAGTTCAAGAACGAATACGAAGAGCAGCGGCGAAGAACAAGAAACGGTATGATCTGCGAAGAAGACATGAAGAGTTCTTACCGCATCAGTTGGTCTGGCGGAAGAATTATCCTTTGTCAGATAAGGCTCGTTATTTCACTAGTAAATTAGCACCGAGGTATGTGGGACCATTTTACATTAAGAAGAGACTATCGCCATGGACGTATGCGTTGATGGATGAACATGGTAAGGATAAAGGTGTATGGAGTGCCAAGGATTTAAAGTCAGTTAGGGATGGTGTTTCGTATGTTTCGTAAACTGTTAGCTCTGTGAGTTCGGGCTCTAGGAATAGGCTCACGCGGGTATAACCAACGCTGTGGTAGAAGTCCACAAATTGGCCACTTCCTGACTAGGAAATCTTTGCCTATTAGAGGGACTCACCCTCACTGGGGTGCGACAATAGTTGGAATCTCCCGGTTCCAAACCAAGGTTCCTTGGACGGGAGGGCATTCATAAGGGGGGTCGTGTTCGGTGGCGGTAGGGCTACGGCCGGCTATAGCTTTGTCGATTGGGGCACACTGGGCACGACTACTATGTCCCTCTCAACTCCATTGCAACTGGAGACGCCAGCACTTTGTCGCAGTGGTATAGGTAAGAAGACTCCCGCACAGGCGTCAGGATTCTTTTGTACCGACCTTCTGTCGTTTCAGGTAATGGGCCTTCTCTCATGCTAGTGAATTGGTGGTCACTAGATTTTTGTCTAAGTAATATCTGTTTTTCTTTTTGTTCCACCAGTGACTGTTCGATTTTCCTAGGTGGTTCGGGGATGTCTGGGCGAGAGCCGCTGCCTGCTGGGAATCCGGAGTGGGAGGTACAGAGGTTCCTACGGCGCAGCAACTAACATCATGCAGCGAAAACGGAACGCTCTGCCGGGTTCTCTGGGAGTCGGTGGACGGTTCAGGTGGCTCTGGGCTAGGTGGGGGAATCGGTCAGCCAAGTGACCTTCCTGGTATGAAAGGGGAAGTTTTATTAGTTTTAAGGTAGTTGTAATTTAAGGGTACTGGGGTTTTTCAATTTGATTTCGCTCTTATAGTTGTAAGTTTTTAGAGGATATCTCTCTCGGATTACTATGTATGTATCAGAGTGTAAACTGGGTTTTTACTTTATTTAGGATATGGATGAAAATATTTTCAGTCAGCTAGCGCTGACGAAAATTTACTGTGGTAAATTTTCTTGAAGCAAGGGAGGAATGTAACGGTTTTAATCGAACGTTATGCCTTATCGCCTATTTCTGTCTCAAAACTAGCAGAGAATTAACTTATAATCTAGAAATTACCTTGAATATGCTCCTGTCGTAGAACTTCATTAGATTTTCGAGAAAACACAGCTTTATTCAAATGGGATTTAGCGTAACTGGTGTAAATGTTCCTTCTTAGGGCTCACATAATTTTTACAAGGTTACACTTAATTTCACTATGGTTTTCAGCAGTAGTTTTCACTCTTAAGATATTGTTTACAATAACCTCTGTATTTTGTTGATTTTATTCAAAAGGAATTTAGCGTAACTGGGGTAAATGTTCCTCCTTAGGGCTCACATAATTTTTACAAGGTTACACTGAAATTCACTATGATTCTCAATAAAACTGTTTACTTGTAGAAGTGTTGTTTACAATGTTTTTGTTATTTTGTAGGTTAAAACTGATGTCAGATGTCATTTAATTTCATGAAGTATGCCTGTCGCATTTCGAGATGTCTATCTTTGTTCGATAAGTGATTCTTAGGTAATGCCTCTCTCTCTCTGCTTGACGGAGGACAAGGGACGTCATATGTCTGACTTCGATTCATACGCCAGTGATTCATGAACTAAGGAGTGCTCGTTTAAGCAGTGGTTGCTTTTCATGGGCATATTTTTGGGTTTTCTTATTGGTCGAGCAGTGTTAACAGAGCTGTCAGCCTGAATGCGAATGGTCGTATTCTAGTAGTTGAAGGAGGTCATTGGTCGCACAGTATAACCAACAATAATTTCTAGAGATCGGACAGTGGCGATTGGTTTAAAGGGATTTTCTTTGAAGTGATTCTGCGCAGTCGAGGTTTTATGCTAGGGGGCGAAGAACGGCGTAATTTGTAACACGTGGCAGCTTCGTCTTTCTTTTCCAACAAGGAATGTTAATGGAGGTGTTGAACTGAAAATTCGCTAAGAGACTTTTTACTTTTTTATGTGATTTTGTATATCATCCCGCGTGGGGAGTCTAGTAAAAGTGTCTCTATTTTATGGGAAGCATTGATGGTACGTTTTGAAGTTGGTTAACGCGAAGTTAGACCGGTATTTTTTTATGTGATTGTGTGCCGGCGGGATCAATTTAGGTTATCAGATTCTAATTAGGATTGTACATTTTAGTGTGCTTGGTACCGGTGTTGCTTGGTACCGGTGTTGCCTGCTACTGTTGCTGGGCACAGTGCAGCTGTATGGTAGTGAAGATACTGCCTAGTACTAGCGTTTTCCTGACTGGTATTGATTATGTACTTCCTCTTTAACGAAGAACAGCCATTTTGGGGTTCGAACACCTCACCTACTTTTCTAGAACATCAGAGATTTGGTATCATAGGATTACATGCCACAGGCGGCAACGCTAGCCTTGAATAGCACGGATCAGGAGATAAGTGGAAATTATGCATTTATTTTTCTATCATTTCGGTTATAATTTGGGGTTTATTATTAGTCTACCACTGATACGTATATGTATACAGTTTTCTTTATGAATTTATTTGATTAAATAACGTTGTGTTCATATGCTATTAAAGGCCCTCATTGCCTATGTTTCATGGTTAGTTCATATATCATAATTCATAGTGTTTTATAATAAGAGTATGTTTCACATTGTTTAGTGAAACAAATACTATTTTAGTTTATAAGTATTTTGGATATGAACTTCTGTAATATACAGAAATTACAGGATTTTTAATATTAAATGAAGTTAACCTTTTCTATGAGTTGCGCTTGATATGTCTTTCGCCTTGGATCCAACGCTAATGACCGTGGGGTATTGAGAAGTAATACTATTGATTTTATTGGGGATTTTAATGGGGTACTGACAAGTAATATTATTGATTTTATTAAGGTATAGATAAAATATTGTAAATACTGGTATAATTTGGGGTTATGATTAGCCCTCAGGTATGTAAGTAAAAATCTAGTCCTTCTAGCATATGAATTGTGTTTGAAGTCGCTAATAGCGCACTAATTGTAAAGGGGGTCATTAACTAAGGGGAAACTATCTTCCAATTAGGAAATAAACAAGGTTTGAGTTAAGGTTGTCTTTTATTTTCCTATTTATTTGGTAGGTTTAAAAGTAGGACTTTTCTGATTTGTAGTGGCTTGGTATAGTAGATCTACCTGGCGTCCAATTTAACAGAACAGCTAAAATAATTTATTTTTCCCTGATTACGAAGTAATCACCCACTCCCTTCTCCACTTGAGTGAACCGGAGCTACAAGGTTGACATCAGGGACAACTGAACTTAAAGTAACGTTTTGGGGGTTACATCTTGTTTATTTTTGTCAATAATAAATATTAGTTTTTTTTTGTTAAGTAGATACGGCGCTTTTTTTTCTGTGACAATACATTCAAAATAAATCTATCCCGGAATAGCACATGCTCAAGTTGGGAACCCTACAGTCCCAGCTCATGGGAAGAAACCCTTATTTCTGTAACGGTGATTGAGAATATTTTAAAATAATAGAGAACAAAGATAAAATGGAGGTTTCTGAGTTTAAGTAATAAGTATTTTTCAGATATATCAATTATATGTTATTCGTGAGCGTTATTTGAAAATAAATGTGAAATCACTATTTTGAAATCAATTTTACAGAGGTTAGATATTTAAAGCGTTCCATGATGTATTGACAAAGAAATTATAACTGAAGTAACTAACCACATATATATATATATATATATATATATATATATGTAGTTTATTTGAAAATGAATGATAGCAAAATCTTTATGACCCAGGAGACCCAGGATAATTTCTATAATAACATTTTTAGTATTTGTTCCAAAATGAAATGTTTGTTTTTTTCAAAAATTCTAAATTAGTTATTCTTGTCTTAAATTTTCTAGTCATTTTAATCAACAAAAATAAGGTAAGTATGAAATCTCTACAGGTAGAAAATATTTACAATTCAAGATCAACTTAAGTAGCCCTCAACTTTCTTATAATGGAATAAAATTTCTAATTGGCAGAAAGTGTTATGCAGATTGTAAATTATTTTAGTTAAGATTTACATTTCTGTTTGCATAGTCCTGTGATTAAAACACGCAAAATTGTTAGTACTGTAATATTAGGCGATACAAAGAGATATTGATCAGGTGAATTTGTGCAATAAAAAAGGCACAAACGTCTAATTATACTCCTGTAAACTGAAATGAAAACTTTAGTGTTAAATGTACATGACGCTCTTGTACATGAACATTTCAATATTATTGTCCGGAGTATAGTTTCTAAGTGTTCAAATATGACAGGAGTTGGAGAAGCAAAAGGATGGAAGTATTACAGTAGCACCTAAAACGTCAACTGGGCAAAAACTCATTGAAATAGACGGTAGTATGAAAAAACTAATCCAAAGAAAAGTGCATTCGTTTTATTTACAAAAAAAGATACCTTCTTTGGATAAACTTTCAGTAGAAATTAATGGAGACGAAACTTTGCCTAACGTTAAAAGAGACAAATTGTGGAAAACTTTACATGAATTAGACTTTGTTTGGAAGAAGAATGATAGAAAATCTGCGCTCATAGAGAAAGATGAAATTGTTGGAGGAGGCAATATTTAAGGGAAATTAGAAAATAAACAAGAAAAGACAAAAATATTTTTATTTGGAAGAAACAGATTATTAAAGGAAATTTTGTAAAAAGAAGTTTAGCAAGATAAACAGGTTATAAATGCTCGTCAGACATTTATAAAAGGTGGCTTAGAATTTCCAAATAGTAAAGATTAATTATCACTTATATTGGAGGAGATAAAGGATTTGTTGATAACGAAAGACTACCATGAAGAAATGACTGCTGATGTTCTTAATAGTAGTTATCGCAACAAGTGCTAGAAGATGCACTTTTACGCACGAAACTGCGTTACCCGCACGACGCGCAGCGGAGTGCAGGTAAGTGCGTAAAAGTGCTTCTAGCACGTGTTACGATCAACATTTTTTTCTACAAGCGCATTTATTTCTAAAATAGAGAATTAACCTGTATAATGACATTAGGTACAACATACAGTTTAAGTATACATATATTAAACCGATGTTATGTGCTGAATTGGTGTAGTGGTTAGGGTTTCGGGATCATAACGCAAAGATCTTAGGTTCAAACCCGGGCATGGGCGGTAAGTATACCTCGCTTTTTTTTCAATTTATATGTCTCTGTGTGCGAGAAGATAAACTTCTCGCACTCTTTCGTGTGCGAGAAGATCATCTTCTCGCACGCTTGTAGAAAAAGTATATTTCAATCAAATAATCGATTTATTACCTACCAATTCTTTAATAGTTATGGACAATGCCAGTTACCATTCAAGATTAAAGGAACCGTTACCTAACACTAAATGGAAAAGCAAGAACTCTCCGATTGGCTAATCCAAAGAAATAGTGGCAGAAGAAGGATTTCTCAAAAAAGAGCTATTATTGCAGTTATGTAAACAACATTCACCAAAATTTAAGAACTACAGTGTAGATGAAATAGCAAAAGAACATGGAGTTCAACTGTTGCGGTTACCACCTTACCACCATTAAACTAAACTGGGCTCAAGGTATGTGTCGCGAGAAACAATACATTTAAACTTCAAGAAGTTCGTTAGGGAGTCCCTTATATAAACGAAAAATTTTTTTTTGGAAATCGAATTGCATACCCCGTATTTCTTTTTAAACTTAAATACAAAATTTTTTCTGTCTACGTTTACATCAACCCTTTTCGACAGGGCTGTGAATATTTTAAATATTGCTGTTTTACCCCTTTCCGTTATGCAGCTAAATCAATTGAAATATATATTTTATAAAAATTATAATCGAAAAAATTAGGTACTTATTTATTAAAAGAAGATAAAATTACAGACAGAGCAGGATAATTTCTTTCGAAGATCTTTTTTTATAGTCTGGATCAGAATTCTATGCTCTTGTACAAAGCATAGCAAAAATTGCTTTTGTTCTTCCTTTGCAGTGATCAAACCATGAAAATCGTGCATAAGTTTTACAGCCCTTTCAGCTGTATCATTAACTGCCCTTAAGGAAAAAACTTTTCTATTTGCCTCTAAATACGCAACATCTTCGTAACACGTAGAAACGAGTCTCTGGAGGAAGTTATTTATTTTTAAACATGAAAATACATTTTATTATTGACAGACACAAAATCAGTTAATGATTTTCCTGCTAAAATAAATTAGGCAGTATTATTATCAGTTTAGTGAAAACATTATAAAATATATATGTATTCCTACTTACCATACAAATAATTAGACATATCTTTTTTCAATGGAAAGTATTATTATCAGTTTAGTGTAAACATAAAAAATAAATGTATTCCTACTCACCAGACAAATAATCGTACATATCTTCTTTAGATGGAATATATCTTTTTCCAGAATCATACAAACTCTCTCTTTGTACGTTCAGTACAATATTTCTCTTGGTTTGTTTATCAACTTCATCATCAAAGAGTGATAGAACGGCAATTTCTTCTGACAAGTGCCAAATATGTTGACTAAACCTGCTTTGGAGATAAACTTGTCAACAGTTTCATATTCCTTAAGCCTCTTTAAAAGGCACAAATCATGATTTGGTTCCTTCACAGCCAGATTACATTGAAGCTATATGGTTTTACATTTATAACTGCAATGAATAAACAAACGTCTTGAAGTGCTCGTTTATCCTTGGCGCTAATTTTGAACTGAGATTGCAACAAAAATATTTTTAAAGAGTTAATAGCTCTAGCCATCCACCTAGCTTTATGCATTGCTCCACGAGGTCTGATTTTAATTTTTTTCTCATTATCTCCTCCTAAGAAAAGAATTGATAGTTTAATCAGTAACCGATGATCCTCACGTTCAATGTTTTTTTTTGCAATTCTTGATTATAAAATGTCAATAATTCTTGTATTGTATAACAAAACTGTTGTGTGACGATTTCGGTGTAGGTTTCAATTGCAGCAGAATTAATAGTTTTCCAGTTATCTCTAAACTTTTTGAACATTTTTATATCAGAGCTACTTCTGATTTGGTGCATTTTTGTTTCGAACAAACATTTTAAAACCAGTTCCTAAAAGTGATGGTGGCAAGCAAAGAGTACTAATTCCCTGTCTAATTTTTGTTCTAAAAGTACACAAGCTCCTTTCAATTGCCCTGTATTAGACGCAGTTGTATAAATTTGTCATAGAGGTTCCAGTCATTAAGTGCGTTTAGCATAGCTTTGGCTTGATTTTAACCGGAAGATCTCTCCAGTTTGGGCACAGTCAGAAGTTGTTCCTTTTCTCCAAAGAGAATTAGAATTGACAGGCGTTCTTCTTTAGAACTTCTCACGTCCAATCCATCCCACTGAACGATCACCATTTCATATTATATTTCCTATTCATATTATTCTGAAAATCTGATTTTATAGATTCAGCTCTATCTTTTCTACTCTGTATGCGAATGCGATTAATGAACGATTTTTTTATCGGAAAATCATCACAGCTAAGATCTAGTGCTTCTACTACAGCCTGAAGTATACTCGTATAAACAGAATTCCTTATGCTTAATTGACATCTATCTAAAGATGCAACTAACTTAGGCGTAACAAAGTCTTTTGTTTCTTTTATTTATAGTAGTTTCAGAACTTGCCGTTTAAGAGTTGGACGACAAGGGTTCCTCAAGGCTTTCATCAGAGCTGGTAGGTTGATCGTGATGTCCTTGCGTTTGTATAGAATCTTGTGTTGTAAGAGATGACGGTAAACTCCCAAAACACATTTGCTTATCTCCTTTTTCTCTTCTTTTAGTTTTCTGTCATGCCCTTTCTTCGGCTAACTTTTTGTCTACACCCACTAAACACCCTTTTTTGTAAACATAATTTATCTTTTTCGATTTTCATCTGTTCCAAAGCATCAGCGTGTGCTATATCGATTAAATTATCTTGTTTTGAAAGTCCACCTCACGTCGCTTGTAAACATCTTGTATTTTTTTTAATTTTTTTTGCAACTGCCTCCAAGCACGGTGAAGATCCACAAGTTTTTTTACACAAATAGGTATTGCTATGGCAGGGATTCTAACTTTTTCCAAAAAATAATACACTCTCGAATGACGAGATTTGCGCTTTTACTGAGAGTCACTTTAACTCGAATGCTAAAAAAAAAGTACTACAAGAACTTGACGGATTGATGGCAACTTTGTGCCTGTTATTTGATAATTTACGTCACCAACTAAGACAATACTTTTTTTATTGCTTCTTAATTCCACTGCCATCTCCTAAACACAAAACAATACGTCTTTATCACAAGAATAAGAGAACGAATGACAAATACCGCGAGTACCCGCCGCTACTTCCGCGCAACTTGTATGAACATGATTCTATGAAAGTCGGCACCGGTTATCGTGCTCCAAATTAGGTAAAAGTTTATTTCCGAGTGTTTTAAGAGCAAATGAACAAAAGTAACTAAAATGCGTTAGAAAATAAAAATTTTGTAAAACATCCTAATGTTCGTCAACTATTATGTGACTCCATATCAAAAATTTTACCGGACAATTGGCAAAACGCCGTAAGACATGTAGCAGAGAAAGAGAAATTCTGGAAACTTGATATGTTAATAGAGGAGCAAGTTGAATAGGATGAACAGTTCTTAATTGAATGTCGCGCACCTAGACAATTAATACAAATATTATTTGATTTAACAAAATTATATCGGACAGTTATTGACAGCTTACTAAATTCTGGACAATTGTATATTTTATGGCTATTGACTCCACAATAGATACAAATGTAATGTATTGGAGAAGATGGTCGAGAAGAGGTAGAATTTTTAGAATATTGTGGTTATGCGTTTAAAGACACTTTAGGTGATTTTCTTAATTTGTATTTTCTAGGACCACATAACTTTGGTTTAAACATTTTTGGAAATTTTGAAGATTTGGCAGAGTGCCGAAATCAGAAGTTTCTTCAAATGCCCTTCTCGTATTATAATCTATTTTATGTTCTAAAATGTAAACTATAAGCGATTCAAACAGTTGCGATTTGAAGTAATTTAAATTGTCTAGTGCATCAAGAATCGCTTTGGTATTTGCCACAAATTACCTTAAACTCGACGCTGTACATTTTGTAAGGGTACTAGTATTTAGTAAATGCTGAAAGTGAGTATTAACAATTTGTTTTTTATTACAATATCTATTTTTTAATAATTCAAGAGCAATATCAAAATTATCATCTGTCACTTGCAGGGCGTTTGTTTAATTAACTGCAAATCTTCACCTCCTAAATATGACTTTAAATAAAAAACTTCTCTGATTTCGAAGTTAGTTGACTATTAATAATTATTAAGGCTTATTTAGGTATGTAACTCTATATTTATATTAATTATAATAAGTTTATATGACGCTAGTATCTGAAATACAAACAAATTTATCTGGAATTACCCCGTATTTCTATATCATTATTTTTTAAGAAAAGATTTTTTTTTAGTATATCATATAAATTTGGTTGTGTGTATATTTAATATTAAATTCTCAGGAAATGTCCTAACCTAATATCTAGTATATTTTTATAAAAATAAATGTGGGTAGTTAATATTGACAGTTGACTATTTTTTATATTAAAGTAATTTCATGTTCTCCGTCACTGATGTATGGAATAATTTGTTAATCCCTTAGGGTTTGCGCATTTACATTTTATGATGTATTGTATTCGAGATACTAAAATCTAGTGAAAATTCAGATAAAGAAGGTATCAATATTGACTTTCTTTCTGCTTTGAACAATCCTGTATATAGACCTTTGCCATAAAAACTGTGCTTTCATGCATTTTCAAATAAACTAGACCTACAGGATTTGACAAATACGTATTAGCTCAAATATTCATAGTGTTACAACTTTTAGATTACAGGCTTTATTTACCTTGTGTATTTAACAGAAAAAGTTTTAAGAAAAATAAAACTTAATTCTTAATGTCTATAAAATGCTGTTTTTTGATTCTCTTGCTCGCGATTTTCAATTTCAAGGCCAATTTTTTTTATAAAACAAAAAATTACATTTTTTCTCATTTCCTATGTTTTTGAAATAATTTATTAATAATTACATACCTGCACCAAACATACTAAATCCTTCTTCATCTCCCCCTTCCTCTACTTCTTGCATCATAGCACGTTTCAAATAAGCAGGTATACCATCTATGTCCCTAAAAATACTCACTCTTAGAAATAATGATTATTACAGTTAGGCCAATTTTATTATCGAAACGCAAAGACGAATTTAACGAAAGAAAGCTTTTATTTAAAGCTCACTTTAAAGTTTCTTTTGAAAGAAGTCGTTTTGATTTTCTTTATGACAACAAAAATACGGGGGGATTAAAAGGTACCCAAGCCCCCAACTTTTTTAAGAGGGTCGCTTTAATTTTTTTCTCCCTAGAATATTGGGCTTTCAAATCTACAGCACTGGCAAAAAATTGCAACAGAAAACTTTTTACAAAAAAAAAAACGTTTTTTGAATGTTAGTTTAGTAACTTTGTTAGGAGCCAGTTTTTGATATAAGTAAATATAGTAAAATCCATTTATTTTTTGGTAATCTGTCTGAGGAAGAATTTATGACATACTTGTTTGAAACACCCTGTATATTTCAATTTAAATTATAAATATTTAACTTGTATCTTGTATAATTATATATTATTATGTAGGTTATAAAACGACACCATAATCATGATATAATATTAAAATATTGAGGCCTCCTTTAATTTAATTATGAAACTGGCCTTAAGTAAATAATCCAGAAATACAAGGCGAGGCAGAATAAAGAGCGATTTTGAAAAGCCCGGAAATTGTGCTGTGCTGTGCCGCATGTGGTTGAGAAGTTGTCGTCCATGTTCCACCCACATTAATTAGCAATGCTAATTTAGCTAATTGAGGACCCTGGAGCAAGAGTAGTCTATGTAACATAAACTTACTTTTGAGATATATTTAGATTTTATATTAAA